AGCCTGTTGTACTACTCACGGCCACCAGATGGCAGGTCTCCACCAGAAGTCCTCTTCTATGGCAGTGTTTCATTACCCTCACTCCCCCTCCAACCTTTCCACAGGGTACTTGATCTCATTGTGGTAGTATTATAAACTGGTTTTAGTTTTCTTTCTCGTATCAGATTGAGAACATCTTCAGGATAAAAATATAAACTAAGGATAATTCATCTTAGACCCATAAGTGTCAGTACTGGCGTGAACTCAGCAGTGGGTACAAGGTCCAACAGAAGTGAGGCCTGCTTGAGTGTGGTTGGTAGGAGAATAATATGGGTGTAATAATTGATAGTTTTAATTTGAACATTTCACCTAAAATGTCATATGGTGTGGTTGAGTGTGACATTATGATACAGGATTACATACCTATGATTTTGTAAAGAAGATTTTGCAATAAAAAAGGGGTGTTATTTGTGCCAGATCCATTTTCTAGAATGAATAAATGGATGTATATTTCTCCAAAAACTAATAAAATCCCACAATTATCTCCATACTTTCTTTCCCAATGATCAATTAAGAAAGATTAATTGGGCATTTCTGTGCCCTACCACGTGTCCAGAGATGGGTGTTTAGAATGGTGAAAGAATAAAAGATACAAGGGGTTTTGTGCCAACTGAAATGGGAGTCTCCCTGGAGGAACCCCTCCAGCTCCACACCTCCTTAGGCTAATGGTGAAGATGTAGCTTCTGCCACCTGGGCATCTCATTCCGGTGAGACAAATATGCTGTTCTCCTTGGAGAGAGCTCTGTGTAATACGGATTGACAAGGCCTAGCCCTCGGGAGCTTCCAGACTGATGAGGGAAACACACCATCCAACAAGAAACAAATCTAATCATGGCTTGCAGACCTATCCTCCCGAACGTACCCCAGCTCTCACAGGCCCATGAGTTCAACAGACCACCATCTGCTCCCGTTTTCCACTCAGGAGGGCCTCCTCTCCTCTCCTCACAAGGAGCACCCCAGGTCTGAGAGGGAAACCAAAGAATTCTCCTCTTCCTTCTCTGGGCATGTTGTTGAGGAAGTTTGCAAGTCATTGAGACTAAATAGAAGGCCTAAGGGAGGGTCAGGAGCTCAAGCAGCTGTGGCATTTGGACTGGGAGTCAAGTATCCCCAGGGGGTGGAGAGACAAGCTTCCAGGGAGGAGGGGTAAGACCAGAGATGGAGAATCCCTGAGCTCTGCTCTGTGTCACAGCTCAGGGGAATATGCATGGAGGCCCATTTTCCCCCTTCCCACACTCCTTATCTAATTAACAGAGGAGTGTAAAAAGTCAGAAATCCTATCTCTCTCTCTTCTGGCATTCTCCAACCACCCTCCACCCTTCTACTCCACACCTTCTCCCAATTTGCTCTGCAGTAGAAGTAGCCCCTATAAGCTCAGAGCCCTGGAAGGAGCCTCAAAAAGAAAAGTGGGGGAACAGGGATTTGGGAAGTTTAGTGAAAGTGCACATTTGGAAAGCAGTATTGGCCTGGGATGCACACCATCGTCATCACAGAGTAGTGACCAAACATCCTGGTCTGCCGAGGCTGTCCTCGTTTAAGCACCGAGAATCCCAAACCACAGGAAACCCCCAGTGCTTGCTTCATACTCCTGGAATCTGAACATTCTCAATACTAAAGATGGAAGGGAATTCTTCCCTTCCCAGATTCTTTAGATCTGGTCCCACCTCCTTCCTAGCTCCATGAATACCTTTCCAAAGTTACCTGAATTTATTTATTGTATTCTATTTACCATCTTCTACCCTACATTATAGTTAGACACACACATTACCTCCTACTTACTGGATTCTAAGCTCCTTGAGGGTTTATGGCTCCTTGAGGGCTTAAGACCTATGGCTCAGGAAGACTTAAAGTCTTATACATGATTGGAACAAAAAAATGCATTTTGTGTTAAAGTCCACACCATATTTTGCATTTTATGTCCCAGTGGCCTAGAGGGAGGGCACAGGGCTCTAATAGTTTTCTTTAAGGTGGTTCCTGGATTAGAAAACTGACTATTAAATTTTCCAGAATTTTTCAAACTGGTTGTTAAACACAGTTTTTATTAAAAATTAAATTATATAAACCTACAATTAAATAATATTAAAAACAAAGATAAGTACTCAAAATTCATCATTTCCTACTTATTTCTTACTATTAGCAATACTCAAGGTTATTTACATCTGTTATTTCTTTTTTTATGATAGGAATATATCACTATATGCACTATATGATGGATATGATGGAATATAGCACTATATGATGGATAATGTGCTACTGTTCATCTCTTCCCAAGTCCATGTTGGTAATTTGAAGTTGGCCATAGTGAAAGTATTTACGCTATGAAAATCACCAAACACTACCAATCATGGCTTCTGTCACACCAAAGCTGGTTGCTGAAGTCTACCAGCATACCACTGGTTCAGGGACACTATTTTGTCTGTTCTGTCATAGGCCCACTTGGTCTCTATTGTCATCTTCTGCTCTAGTCTTCATTTCAGATTTCCATTCTGGAAAGAGGGAAACCAAGAGTTCTATCATCATTAAAAAACTAATGGGATCATAGATCGGGGGTTAAGGAAATGGATGCACAGGTGGGCTGCAAACGATTTGTAGGCCAGGGTGGAGTGAATGCCGTTCTCTGGCTCTTCACTCCTTCCAGGAAACCTGTGTCCACAATGAAGGACTGTGGTCAGTCCAGCTCAGGTGTCCTATGTACACAGAGCCCGAAAGGACTCTGAAGAAGGCACTGGTTGTCCTCCAGGTATCTATCTTACATGTCTATCTTGATGGCCAACTGAAGAATTCAAAGATAACTAAGATGATTCCCATGCTGACAGGTAGGGAAGGCAATGGTCACCCATTTCTGGCCTCCAATTACCTGTGGGATTAATAGATGCTGTAAATCTTAAAATTAGTATTGAAGCATTCAAAAGAATTGGGAAAATGTTTAGAGGTCATTCAACATTCAACATCTTCCCTACTCCTTCATTTTACAGATGAAGAGACTGAGTCCATATAGTAATTAATAACTGGCCCAAGGTCACACAACAGATGAGTGACTAAAGTCCAGGACTCCCAATACTTGGAGCCAGTGGCCTTTCCTTAACATCTCAAGTTCCTTTTAAAGAAATTATATGATCTTTAGAGAATCTGAGCAGGATCAAGCACACAAAGAAAAGCATATTAACTTCCCCTCTGCTTCCTAGAAGAAAAAGGAAGGTGTTTATAGAGAACCAACTAAATGCCAGCTGCTGTGAGGGACAAAGAGGAATAAGACTCAGTCAATCAAACAGGAAGTGAATTTGGAGTCAGTCCTAAAACTCTTTCACAGGGCGGGTGAGGGGACTTCCTTGGGGCTAACAGGAACCCTGATCTGACCCCACAGTGAGTAGCATGGAAATGAACCCTGCCGTCTTAAGAAGTGAAAGCTAAAACTAGATTCTTGATCGGAACTAGTAGGAAACAGAGGAAAGGCCACTGGGACAAACTCAGGGTGCTTTTCCTAAGTAACTCAAGCCCCCAACACCTCTTTTCCCCAAGGAGAGAAGCCCACAAGCAAGCAGAGGAAAAGCTTGTTGGACTGAGGTAGAGCTTTACTCCATTAAGGACATTTGGCATTTGTGACATTTGTACCCATCCTTCTAGAAAAATTAAATTTAAAAAAGGGCATAAAAATAGGAGCCCAAATTTCTTATTAGATTCAACATATCTAAAATTATTCCATCAAGTAGTTATAAAAGTTTCTAAACATTTTCATTTCTGCACTTACCTTATCAGAAAGATAACAGTTTGCAGACTGACACCAATCCTGACTCATACTTTGAATTGCCCTAAAAAGTCCTGGGGACTCCTTTGTCCCCCATACCTGTCAGGTGAGTGGAAGCCTAAGCTCTGTTTCTCATCCAAATCAGGTCTGGGGTGCTGGGAAGCGACCTGGAAACCCACAGTCACACGGTACTGAGTCAGGACTCTTACTTCTTGCTTGTACTTCCCTCTGAACCCCAGCCTTAGGGAAGGGCTTCTCCAACTAAGGAAAATCCCTACCCCTTCACCATAATCCCCAATCCTACCTAACAGTGCCTCAGGTCCCTACTAGGAGGCAAAATCATTCATTCCATCATTTGTTCATCCATCTAGTCATCTTCTTAAGCACTACAAATATGAAGTGAATCTAAAAGACAGATTCCTGTCTAAGGGACTGACGTCCTTGAAACAAAGTGGTATGAGACAGAAAGCCACCAGTCTTTTGAAATACAGCCCTGGGTGCCCAAAGGTTGATTCCCACATCCACAAGCAGCTAACAAACTGGAGATCTAATCCTCAAGTACAAAATGACAGACTCTTAGGAATGAAAGAAATTTATGAGAACTTACTTTGGTAGAATGTGCTAGAAGGTACTGCTGCAGAGATGATCTCTGAAGTGTTTCTGCTTCATGATCACCAAGGGAGGATGTAGAAACAGTGCACCCTTTTACATGGGTTCCCTACATAATTATTAACACCTTAGAGATAAAGGCAGGGCAAGGGGTGGGGTTTCAATGACAGATAAGGACACTGCAGCTGCAAAGGACAGGTGACCTACTTTCAGGGTTAGGAACCTTGCCTGCTCCAGGCTACAAGATTCTGAGAAATGAGCCCTCAATCAGGAAGAGACATAAGTCTGACTTGCAGAGGAAAGATACCTCCAGGGTATGGAAAGACTTCAGACCCTCTGTCAGCCTGGGAGGGGAGAAGGGCTTGAAAGGGCGGGGTGGGGCGGGACTTTTCTTGAGGCTTTGGGCTGAGTCCCTCCTCCCTGGTCCCCCATTGGGTCAATGGCTCCAGCAGCCCTGCCAGTGAGGGACAAATGAAAAGAGCTGTTGATTTTTCCCCCTTGGCCATTCAGAATTTCCCCACATAAATACTGAGAAAGACCCTGCCCCTCCTCACTTTTTCTCTGGATTTGTCCCTGGGCTGAGCCTGGTCCCCTAGGGGTGGGCAGGGCCATGGGGGATCTGTTTATGCTTAGGGTGGCTGTGGGCATATGCTGTGCCACCTTCAGTGCCTCTGCCTGGTAAGTGCTTCCCCCGACGCCTTGCTCCCTGCCAAGGAAGCCCTCGTTATCTCAGCCCTGTTCACCAATGCCTCACTTTTTCTCTTTTTGGTAGGTCAGTGAACAATTTCCTCATAACAGGTCCCAAGGTAGGATGTCCCTGGCTTCTGTTTTCTCCACCCAGCTTCTTAAGGGAATTCTTCTGGGGAACGAAAAGAGGGGAGGGGGGACAGTGCCAAAAGTCCCTCACCCAGAGGAACCCATGCCTGTTCCTTAATGGAGCACTAATCCATTTAAGTCCTGCTCCCCACAACCCTGATTTGACAACCTGCTCTGAGCCAGGGCTGAAGCTCATAGTCCTTTTCCCTTGGCAAGGCCTACCTGACCTACACTACCAGTGTGGCCCTGGGTGCCCAGAGTGGCGTTGAGGAGTGTAAGTTCCAATTTGCTTGGGAACGCTGGAACTGCCCTGAAAATGCTCTTCAGCTGTCTACTCACAACAGGCTGAGAAGTGGTAAGTTTGTGCACCTGTACAAGGGGTTATATGTGCATGGAGATGGGCTTGTAATATGTGTGAATGTGTAGCATGTATGTGCACAGTGAAATAAAAAAGTTATCCATGATCTGCTGACCCGCCACTTGGCTACATGACCTTGAGAGAATTACTTCCCCCCGTCAACCCCAGTTTTGTCATTTCATTATAAGGCCAGCTCTGTTTAGCTCACCAGGAATATTGTAAGGGTTGAATGAGGTAAACACAAAGGTATTTCTTTACAAATATAATAATTACTCTATTGGTTTAATGCATGCCTGTATTTGATATTTGTATACACTTATCTTACACTGATTTGGATGAAATAAAAGTGGGGAAAAGGCTCTGTGTTTGCAGCCCCTGAGGAAGTTTCCCATCTGCCCAGCTGTCAAAAAGTCCCAACAGCTGAGGAGCTGAGAGATCACATTGAGCTGTGCCTCAGGTGGGGTGGGGTATGCACATGCGGGGGGGGGGGGCGGGGGAGGCTATTTGTAAGTATGTGTAGTAGTTTGCATAAAAGTCATTTACACAGGAACCATAAGGAACTGCCTAAAAAGAGTTGGGGGAAGGAGTAAAGAAGATGAAGACAAATAGAAATATTTCTGTGGGTTATACAGAAAAATGGGGAGTATGTGGAAATGAAATGGGACCATTGTTTGTAAAGAGTTTAGGAAGATATCAGCTCAGTACATGGGAGCCATGATCATTATGATTATTACATAGCTCTACTTTCATGTCAGAAAGAAGAAAAGTCCCTTCTGTCTTTCCTAAGACAGTCTCATGGCCCTAAGTCCTCACTGCCTGAGGACTGAAAGCAGTGGCTAATGACTAGAGGCCTAGGCTGGACTTCAGGAGAGAGGAGCCCTGGCCCCAACACCACACACACACAGCTGGAGAGGAGAGTGGCCTTGGTCTCATTTCTCTGCCTCTGGGTTTTACATTCCTTCCCTCTCTGTAGCACGGGGATGTTCATTCCTGCCTGAACGAAGTAAAGATGAAATAAGGAGATATGTGCTGATCTCTCAAGTATAAGAACATTCTCTTAAACCAAAAGGGGGTGGGGGACAAGGAAGAGAAACAGCATTGCTTCTCCAAAGCCTCTGCTTTGGGTCATCAGAGTCCAACTTTCCAGTTCTCTTTCTCTCTCAAAGCCACCCGGGAGACTGCATTCATTCATGCTATCAGTTCTGCTGGAGTCATGCACACCATCACCAAGAACTGCAGCATGGGCGACTTTGAAAACTGCGGCTGTGATGAGTCAAAAAATGGGAAAACAGGTAAGTTGGGCTCCCTGATGAGAGGAAGAGGTGAAGAGTGCAGAGCTACATGCAGACCAAAGTCTTCCAGGGAAAGGCTGAGGGGCACAGCTCCAGCTCCCTCAAATCCCTGGACTCCAAGAGCAACTTCATAGGTGGGAGGTCCTGGACCTAGACTCTCCTGAGAGCTGAGCTGGGGTCCATGATTCCAGGAACAGCACGTAGCTCTAAAACAAGGCATCTATAAATGAGGAAGCCAGAAACAGTTTAAAGCTAACCTTCATATATCAGGGTTAAAATGGCTTGTCCATAATCCAGAGCACTCAAGTATGTCACCTAAGACTTACTCAGATTTGTCACTGATGAGGGAAGAGGCAACTCTAACAAGACTATTAAAGGATAATGGTGCAGAAGTCCAGAATGTCTAACCTAAGATGAACCTTTGAGGTTAGCTAGGCCATCCTCAGTGTGCCTGCCTTCACTGTGGGTATAGAGACTAATTACTGAGAGCTAGGAAGTACCGGAAGGGTGGACAGTTGGCTTTGGAAACAGGAACACCCCCCAAACCCAAGTACCTCTATTTCTCTGTCTCACCTTCAGCTGCAGCTTTATATGATTCTAGAGCACATGGGGATGGCTTGGCCGTGCCAGCTGACATGGCCATGTCTCTTCTCCTGGGACTTGGTAGGGAACTGTATGCAGAACTTATTCTGTTCTTATGTGTAGGAGGCCATGGCTGGATCTGGGGAGGCTGCAGCGACAATGTAGAATTTGGGGAAAGGATCTCCAAACTCTTTGTGGACAGCCTGGAGAAGGGAAAGGATGCCAGAGCTCTGATGAACCTTCACAACAACAGGGCAGGCAGGCTGGTGGGTATAGGAGTTGGCCAGTCAGCCATCAGGCTCAGTATTGGCAACAGCTTCATATCTGTACAACATTTCACAGCTTGCAAGAGCTATCTCCTATCCAAGTTTCATCCTCACACCACTCAGGAGGACTGGGATGGCTCCCCCATTCTCTGGATGACAAAGCCAGTTAAGGTCAAGCCAAGTGGCTTATCCAAGGCAATACAACTAACTAACAAGCATCATAGCCAGACAGTGAACTCAGATCTTCTAGTCTAGTCCCCTTATGACTAACCCTTGTGCTCTGGCCCCTCCACAGGCCTTGCTTCCATGACTTACGTTTTTAACCCTTTCAACTGCATGTTCTAGGAAATTAACAGGGGCTTATCATCCAGCCCCTGTCTTAAGGTCTGTCTGGGCTTCAAGGGATTGGGACTGACCTAGGCTTCTCTGGAGGGTTTATTCTCTGCTAAGACTTCTGGTGGGGTGGCAATCCCTGGAGTATTCTGATCTCAGATCTGGGAGCAAGTTGGATTTAGAGTTAAGAGCACAGAAATTTCCCTTTGAATCTATATTTAGATGTTCTGGTTGCCCAGGGCAAAAGGAAGAGGTCTTCAAAGCAATTACAACCATGGGTAATTGCTTTGGGGTAGGGGGATTTCAACTCTAGGAACTTCCTTCCCTCTGGGAGAGGGTCCAGAGCACAAATCCAGGTCCTCACAAATACTCTATCCCCCAGCTTCAAAACAGTAACAGTGCCAATGACCATATTTTTCTCTATAATTTACCAGTACTTCCTTGATCATCCTTATTCCAATTAGGCAGATAAAACTACAAGCTCAAGAAGTGGCGAAGTTTGGGCCTGGAGCCTAGGTTTCCTGACTCCAGTAACCTTTTCAACACCTGTCTGGCTTTCCTTAAGAATTTCCCAGGGGAGATTTAAAATCACCAGTACCAAGGTCCTGAAGCCCTTGAACACTCTAATTGATAAGATCCGAAGAAGGGCCCAGGAATAAATATTTTTCATGGCCTTCCCCAAGTAATTCTGATGTTCCTCCAAAGTTAAGAAGCACAACTCTAAAATATTCTATTTAATTGCAAACTTTTGGTCTTCCCTACCCAGAGCTATTCTCTCATTTGTTCTCTATCCCTCTCTCTCTCTCTGAAGGCAGTGAGAGCCACTATGAAAAGGACCTGCAAATGCCACGGCATCTCAGGGAGCTGCAGCATCCAGACATGCTGGCTGCAGCTGGCTGACTTCCGGGAGATGGGGGACTACCTAAAGGCCAAGTATGACCAGGCACTGAAAATTGAGATGGATAAGCGGCAGCTAAGGGCTGGAAACAGTGCCGAGGGCCGCTGGGCACCCACTGAGGCCTTCGTTCCTAGTGCAGAGGCTGAGCTGATCTTTTTAGAGGAGTCACCAGATTACTGTATCCGCAATTCCAGCCTGGGCATCTATGGCACAGAGGGTCGGGAGTGTCTGCAGAACAGCCACAACACATCCAGGTGGGAATGGCACAGCTGCAGGCGCCTGTGCACTGAGTGTGGCCTGCAGGTGGAAGAAAGGAGAATTGACACCATCAGCAGCTGTAACTGCAAATTCCAGTGGTGCTGTACAGTCAAGTGTGACCAGTGTAAGCATGTGGTGAACAAGTACTATTGCACACGCTCCCCAGTCAGTACTTGGCCCCTAGGCAAAGGCAGCACCTGACAACACCCACACAAAATTATTTGCTTAACTGAATGACAATGGAGGGGGACACAGCTTCTCTCTTGGAAAAAGTAGATTGAATAACAATTAGAAAATCACAGGGTTGGCCTGTAGTCCTCCTGATATCTGTTATACATGGGAAAATTGAGGCTCAAGACTATACAGCATATTCCTGACAGAGCTGAAATTGGAACCTGGGCCTCCTTATCTGGGCACAGCCCATTTCATCTTCCTACACATTACTTCCTGGTCTTTATACCTGTACTTCTGCAGCTTGTTTGGTTTGGAATCCATATCCAGAAGGACCTTCAAAGTACTGTTCCCTGCAAGTTTCAGACCACATTCAACACAGCTGTGCTGCTGAGAATCAGAAGGAATGGAAGCAAAAAATTAAAGAGTTCTGTCCAGATTCCTAAAGGAGCAACCTCCCCATATTCTGACTAGTTCCAAAAAGACCAGCTAGGAGTTCATGCAGATGAGTGGGCAGAGACAGATACCTGCCTGGTGAATGAGAGGCTTTCAGGGTGTTCAGGTTTTCACCTGAGTAATGCACTTTTGAAAAATTCTTCCCACCCACCCCTGGGGAAACCAGGAGCCAACATAACCTGAGGACTTTTCCAGCTCAGAAACCATTTCTGGGGCCCTGAAGAAGTAATAATGGTATCAGTGTCCCAGTAAGTGGACAGGTGACAACAACTTACCCAGACCCCGCTTCCCCAGTCCCAGAGAGATTTACCTGCAGAGAGCTGTAAAATGACTCTATTTTGTTATTTTCCCAGATTGGGAACTGAACTTTATTTTGTAATAAATGCTTCTAGAATGTATATCCAGCTGAAGCCTTTTATTTCTCTCTTTGGAAAACTTAGGATCAGAAAAGGGATAGGAAACCCTGCTTCTGTATTCCAATTATGCACAAGGCTAAGGGAGAAACTGGAACTATTCAACCCCCTAATATCAGTATCTGACAGATAATAAGATTGAAACCAAGGAACTGGCCAAGAGGAAAACAATCCAGACTCCCAGATTTAAAAGGTGTCATTTTAATGCAACCAAAGCAACTTGAGGAACAAGGAAGCCCTTTGAACTTGAACCATATTCAAAGTATGTTTACTCTCTTAACTTGGGCTTCCTGTGGAGTCTGTACACCAAGGACCTGGGCCCCAGGGCAAGAGACTAGGAAAGTTGTGGATTCTACCTTCCTCATTTGCACTTCTACATCTTCCACTGGCAATCTTTGGGGGAGGAGTAGTTTCCCCATAAAGGCCCTAGGGACACAGCCATTGGTCTCCTAAACCTGAGCATTTCACCCTGGGTGGGGGGAGGGGCTCTCTTCTCTGCAAAGCACAAGCATAAATTATTTTTTAAAATACCAACAGGAAATAACCAAGCCTTATTATTATTATTATTCTGAGTGAAAAGGAAGGTGAAATGTTCACTGAGAAATTTGGTGTCTCAAGAGAAACCATAAGCAGGTGCCTTGAGGATCCACTCTGGTGTTTTTAAAAACCAGATGCCAGAGACAAGAAGAAATCCATAAAAATGTAGCCTATGTCAAAAAAATGGAACATTTCCTCTACCTCCATCATTCTAAGGAAGGTACAAAAACACACTACAGTTAGCAACAGAAACATGGGCGGGGGGGGGCATGTAGAGGTAGTAGATGGGGGAATGGGAGAGATGCTATCTAAGCACAGAACTGTGGTGAAAAATAGGCAACCAAAAGATTATTTCCCTGTGATTCCAAGAAAAAAACACATAAAGGTATCTTTATGTGTTAAACCCTCAATAAACAGGTGCCAAAGCACCCATCATGACACCTGAGCTGTGATGCGGTGTGAGGGAAATGAACAACCACGGTTTTCTCCCTTTATTCTGAACTAAATCTCCATCCAAAGAACCTAGGTACCTGCTGCTTTGACATTTCCCCCAGGACCTTGCTGACGTTCCCAAATAATCTTAGGGGGGATTTTCAGGAACAAACCGTCCCTGCTGCCCTGTCCAAACTGTCATTCAAGAATAAGATGCCTTGTGTTTTCTGTGGGTTTATATCTGAGGTTTTCACTAATGAAACCCAGAGCAAATTGGGAATTCCATGAAAAGTTTGTCAACTTCCCCAAAAAGCCCATAGTCCCACTCCTTCCAAGCCGCATTCATCTTACTCTCGTGGCAATCAATCACATCAACCAATCCTCCCACACGGACCCTGGCCCAGAAACTAAAGGAATTTGAATTTCTCTACATCCATCACCTTCCTGTCAAGGATTCATTCCAAGGCATTACAGTGACATTCAGATTCATTAGTTACCACCCTGCACCCCTTCCTTTTGGCTCATCCTTAACAAGGGGGCTATCATTAAGGTGACAGAACAGTAAAACCCCCGTGTTCAATAGGTTCAGGACCCAAGACAGGAAGATTGGCCACAATCTGCTGAAAAAGGAGTCAATTCAATGAAGGAAACGTGTGTGTGAGCCTATTCCCATGTTTTAGTAAATCCAGATACTGCACTTCACATCACCTAGAGAAAGAAGCCTATATTTTCTCAGTCTAGATTAAAAAGAATATCTTTATGCTTGTCAGGCTCCTACAGATGTTTTCCTCCTTCTTCTCTGCTTTCTTCTCACTTGACTTTTGCTGTAGGTGGAATTAGGACTCCTTTTCCTAGAGTGTCCTATGGTCCCCTGACAATCTCCTCGGGGCTTGCTGGTGGGTTATCACACAGGTAAGGGTGGAAAGGAAGTGACTGACCACCTACTAAGTGTTACATACTTAATATATATTATCTCCTTTAATCCTCAAAACAATCTGATTAAAATGTTACGGTTATCCCCTTCTCACTACTACAGAAAGTGGCTCAGAGAAGGTAAGCATCCAACCTAGAGTTAAACGCAAGAGAGATGGATTTGAATTGGAGCCTGCTACCAAAACTCTGTATGCACCACTTACACTCTGGGCACTCTGGGAGCCCAGGGATCTCCAGCCATAATCTTTATAGTACTGACAGCTTTGTTGAGTGACTACCATTCATATGCAGTAAAAGGTGTCCTCTTCCTCCCCCTTCTGTAAATAGAGTCACATTTCTCAGCCCTTCTCTAGAATGAAAAAACCTAACTTTTGACTTGCAAAGGCCTTCGTTAGAATGATAAAGCAGATAGCCTGACTCCTGCTGACTTAGGAGGGCAGAATCCTGGTTCTCAGGGGATGCTCAATGAAAAGGGCTAACCATTATGGTCTATATTAGAGGTCAAAGTTTCAAAAGGAATGCCAAAGGAGGGGTGTTTATTTTAGAGGACAAAGGAAGGAAAAACAGGATTCAGAGAAAGATAAATTTCTAGCCCCAGATCACAAATTACTCATAATTTTTATCACAAAAGGCAGTGACTTAGAGTCCAGATGTTTGTATTGGGAGAAAATGAAATAAAAGCTAGGACCAGAGCAAAGAAGAGGTTAAAGACATTTATTTGGTAGGACTAGAGCTCCAAACCACCTAATCCTGCAGCATTCCCTACACTGAAGGAAAGCTGGCGTTAGAGGAGAAAAATATCCCACTCAGGATCGCCAAGTGAGACAGCTAGACATAATACTAGGCTCCAAGGCCCTGAACACTGTCTATGGCTGGTGCTCTGCCCACCCTGTCAGGCTGCCCTTTTCATCAGGAGAGTGATGCACGATGACCAATGGGAAGCATTAAGGAAATTAGGCCAGGGCTGTAGGAAGTTTCAGACTGAACTTGGTCAGGGAGGGAATAGGGAAGCTATGAGTAATGAAAGTGGGGATGTAGATAGGAGGGTGGGTGGGATGTGGGTAAGGGAAAGGCCCAGTGACGCATCAGGTACCCAAATTTATTCCCGTGTTCTTCTCAGCTCCTCGGGTACCTCTGCAGACCTAAATGGAACTTGGTAATCCTGAGAAGATCCCTTGTCATTTCATCATCAAGAACTTTTTGCAGCCTATACCAGATCACTTGATTCAACCACCTGCTTCTTAACGGGAGAGCTCCCAATTCAAAGCTGAAGGGAAAGAAGAAGTACATTGTACAGTGTTCTGAAATACCATTAGGAGAAGGAAGCCAGTCCTTCCCCACCTGGGAGTGTTTATTAGGACATTTGCTGCATGTCTAACCTGAATCAGCACTGCTGTATTTCAAGCCTACCAAATCTTCTAGGACTTCTCATGGATTCAGGCCTTCGAACACGTCTTTTCTCCAAGCTAAGAAACCCTAATTACTCCAGTTTTCCACTGGTTCTCTCTCACACTCTTCTTAGACTGTCTTCAAATGAAACTCCTTTGGGTTTCTATGAGGAATTTGTGGGATGTGAATCCTTCTCAAGCCTCAACTGTCATCACCTCTTTGTCCTCAAGTATCTGAAGAATCTACCCATTCTTAGCTGTCACAGAACTCTGATGGCCCTATCAAGTTCCTCTTGCATTCTTCCCTTGTCCAAGTTCATTTCTAACTCCCTCCATTTCAGCCAAGTAGTCTTGATTCTCAGCTCCATCAGCTGCGACCTCAATCATCACAGTCCTCCTGTGCTAGGGACTTGAGGTGGTGTGGGTGCAAGAATATGACCTGACAATCAGGACACACTTCTTTCTCTGCTCTCACCTGTGGAGAAGTTACATACCTTAAAGTTCCAGTTTTACCCTGGCCAGGTGGCTCAATTGATTGGAGCATCATCCAGTACCCCAAGGTTGAGGGTTCAGTCCCTGGTTAGGGCACATACAAGGATCAACCAATGAATGCATAAATAAGTGAGACAAAATTTATGTGTTTCTCTGTGAAATTAATAAATTTTTAAATAACATTAAAATTAAAATTCCAGTTTTATTTCTCTGCTGATGACTCCTAAATCCCCATCTCTGTGCAAGCACTAAGCACCACAGCTGTTATTTCATAGGCCATTTCTACTTGAGTGACAGAATTGATTTTTCGTTTGACTTCTCTGTTTCCATCAGTGGTCAATTACATTTTCAGTGCCTGAGGCTTACTTCTAGGTCATCCCTGATGCCTCCCTCTGCTGAACTTTTTGTATTTAGTCATCTTTCTTTGGTTTGTCCTCCTAACCTATCCCTTCCTTTCCATTACCTTTGCCTCCACACTGGGCTGTCTATTGTACCTTGTACCTGACTGTCACACAAACTCAATAACTGGTATTTTGCCTCTCAACTCTCCACCTAACACAGTGTTACCATATTTATCTAACAGACGACATAATTCAATTCATCATGACCTGATTTAAAAAAAAAAATTGTGCCCTGACTGGTGTGGCTCAGTGGACTGAGAGCCAGCCTGCGAATCAAAGGGCCGCTCATTCAATTCCCGGTCAGAGCACATGCCTGGGTTGCAGGCCAGGTCCCCAGCAGGGGGCATGCAAGAGGCAAACACACATCAATGTTTCTTTCCCTCTCTTTCTCCTTCCTTTCCCCCTCTCTAAAAATAAATAAA